TCCCCCCCCCCCCCCCCCCCCCCCTGAAAATCCAAGTAATTTTAGAAAACGTGTAATCTCCAACGTGTTTCCCCCTACGTCGAACACCAGCAAAACAAAAATAAAATAATCGTGAAAAAGAAACCCACGCTCAAACGAGACAGATATTTACAAAAGAAATTATCATCATAGCTTATGACATAATAACACAGATTTTACAACCCCGGTTTACGGGAGACAATGACAATTTACGTGAACTGGGAACGTGTCAGTCTTCTTCTGAGCCCAGCGACAGTTAATATTATGCTAGCTGCTTCTTTATCTTCCCTTCTCTGCTCTTCTCTCTCCTCACCCTGCAAGTTAGTGTATCGTCGCAGTTCCCCTGTTGGCCCCTGCGATTGTATGATTGGCCACTTACAACCATTAAACCACCGTTATTTTGTGTTTTAGTTACAGTTTCACGGCAATTGCAACACAGTTAGGTCGTATAAGTATGCCGAAGATTAGAGGTGTTGCGAGAGAGTAACAAACAAACACACACACACTCTCACACACACACACACACACACACACACACACACACACACACACACACACACATACACACACACAAAGGAGGAGTGATAAGATGCTTGATAGGAAAGAAGGTGCGAACCACACCAGTGCACCTGACAGCCACCCAACTAAATATGAAATGAAGATAATCTATATTATATCGTCCTTTTCCGATAAGGTTTTGTCAACCATATCGACATTTTGAAAACCTTCTTTTACAACCCAATTTCTAAACGACCAAAAAATATGAGTTCAAACTTGGGCTGCCCACTCCCCAGCCCATCTATATACAACAAAACTAACGGGCTGACCAGTCAAATAATGGGCAAATGCATCAATATTGCTATTTGGTTTTATTATTAAATGTAGATCTAGATCTAGTAGATATTTTTTTTACCACACCATCGAGAGAATTTAGATCATTTTGGCGGCAGACTTCAGACTTCGAACTCTCGAATCGAACCCGGACTGTGAGGGATACAAGATCACAACGGAAAGACCCGCGTACTCGATAAAATTTTGCCCATCTCGGGAATCGAACTAGGGTCTCCTGCGTACGACAGCGAAGCTCTTAACCACTACATGATAGACGCCAGTTACAGACGCCAGTTACAATTGTTTCAAAACGAATGTTCTCGTAATTTGGACTTTTTGGAGTGAGTCGGCATTCTTTTCTGTTTTAAAAAAAAATTCTTCTAATTTAGGGTGTAGATCTAAAAGTTATAAGCCCAGTTCTATTTTTTTTCAAAGTTAAAACAGCTGACAGGAAAGCTGTGATCTGAACATGACGTGTAAACATTATTATCATAAACTACAGCCTACTCACTCTAACTTTTCAACTGGATGAAATGAAACGATTATCAGAACACGAACGTGTATTTCAACAATAAAGTTCTGCCTGGTAAACACAAAAGTACATCTACTTGCTTGTGCTGTTGTGCGTTCAGGTGTTTATGCCCTGAAGTGGTGGGTGATTATCAGACAGAGACGGACAGACAGACAGACAGACAGACAGACAGACAGACAGACAGACAGACAGACAGACTCTCGATGTTGTCTTGTGTCAGTGTGTGAGTACAAATGCGTGCATCTGCGGATGCAAACAGTTTGCAAACGTTTTTTTCTTCAGTTACATATTAAACAAAATTGAAAAGGTAGACAGACTTGAGAGACAGATAAACAGACAAGATGTGAAACACACACGCACACACACACACACACATACACACA